ATCTTCCAACTCCGGTGCTACCCTAGGGGGTGATGATGATGAATTTGATTCCATCTATTACAGCCCTTACCGGATCCCTACCGACACCGATACAGATACCCCTGTGTCAAGTCAGCAACTTCAAGAGATTCACGCAAAACTCGACAGTCTGCTGGCTGACAGTAAAGCATATGGGGGTGCTGTGCTGAAGGCTTTTATCGAGTCAGCGATCCAGACTTACACCGAAGCCTTGGATCGTTCTACTGACCGTAGAGAATTCAGCGGCCTCATGCTCCAAAGCTACTAAGGAAGTTTCTGAGGTTGTTCATACCACTCAGATCTTTCTTGATTCTCTCAAGGCTCATGCTGACTCAAATGCTTCCAAATTTCAAGCGTCAGTAGACTCGTTCACAGGCACACTTCAGGGAGAAACCAGGAAATTTGAGGCTCTGCGTGCTGACCTCAAAACTGAATCCACTTCACTTCTCAAATCTTTGGATTCACGTTTTGCCTCCTTGGCAGCCGAGAGCACCCTGAAGGAAGAAGTTATCAAGCACCAGGCAACTATTGACTTACAGAAGGTTCAACTGGCCCAGGCACAACAAGAAATCGCTTTGCTTCAAACTCAACGGCCAGTTCTTCAGAGTTGCGCTGGTGACGTTAAAAATCTGTTAACCGGTGTTCTTGACTCCCATGATCCCTTCCTAACCCTCACTATTCGTCAGCATCTCCAGGCAAAACTCCTTCCGGCAATCACTATCCTAAGTGAAATGAAGGGTGTCTCGGAGAAGCCTGTTCTTCCGAGACAAGGGGGAGAGGAAGGTATGTCCAAAACAGAACCGAAGGGTAATGTAGCTTCGGGTTCTGGTAAACATGTCCAAGTTGAGAGCGAATCAGAATCAGATGAAACCATTACTGAAGCTCTTCAACGTAAGAAACGGGACAGAGAGCTTGATGAAACATTGAAAATAGCTCGTGAGGCAGAAGCCAGAGAAAGGAAAATCCGGGAGGATGAGGAGGCTATTCAAGCTAAAAAGACTCTGTTCCCAGATTGGGACAGAGACACACTCATCACTCAAGCAATTGAGTTTCCTTCTATTTATTGGTTGGAACCGATTGCATCTTTTGAGTGTGAAAATTCCAAAGACTCGCAGTTCGACATGCCCATTACGCGTAAAGCCTTCACTTTTCACTGCTTTGATGTCACTGCAAACGTCCCTCATCCGAACCCGAAGGTTGACAGGGAGCTTATCGATTTCTATCTGAAATTCGGTCAACCTCAGTACTTGACTTGGAGTGCCCAGAAAATTATTAGAGTCAAGGTACTGAAACCAACCCAGGCTGGGAAATTTGTAAACGTCAATTTCAAAATCAACAGAGGAACTGCCAACACCGAACATCTTATTTCTCTGGCAGATCTTCCCAGTCTGAACCCCCATGATTGGATCTTGCTATACAACATTCTTCTCTCCAACCAGAGAGAATATGAACCAATTCTTTCTCATCTTAAAAGAATGTTGGCTTCCTATGTCCATGAGCTAGCCACTATGGATCAGGAAATAGCAAAGGTGATGAACAAGAAACCGACTGTCAAGCCCACTTCCAAAACCGGAGATGTCCATAAAATGAAGTTGGGGCAGATTGATTCTTCCAATCTGACAGTTATGTTCACAAGGGGGGATAAGCACAAGTTTCTGTTTGCGTTGGTAGACAAGCATCTGTTCTCTACAGAGTGTCTGGAGCACATCATCAATATCATTCACCGATGCAAACAGAACACAACAGCAGATAAGAAGAACTTTACAGATATGCTTCGTTGGTATATTACCTTCAGGCATCATATTCTGGCTTTGATACCGAAAATTTTTCAAACGGTAAAGAAGCCATCTGCTTTGAAGACAGAGTGAAGATCTCGCCCCAAATTGACGCAAAGGGGGAGATTGTTGGGCTTAGAAGATTGCGTCTTTTGGGCTCGTTTGTTTATAATTCTTTGTATTACGGTTTGGGCCTGTCCAACCGTGTGTCTTTTATGCTTTGTATATAAGCTTATGCTTGCATGCATATTAGGTTAAGGTTTTAGAGATCTGAGAATACAATATTTTCCAGACGACTAAAGGTTTCTTTGATCATACTTGTAACCTTCCAATCCTCTACAGTTGATGTTCTTAATCGAGCTCTTCTGAGGATTTTGTTTTAATCATTCAACACGTTTGATTCATTCTTGTTCTATAATTTTACTGTGTTTATATCGTCATTGTTTTCATAACTTGTTCAAGATCTTATCGATCTTCATAGATTAAAAGAAACATTAATCTCAACAGATATATTTATTGATTACATCCTGGTATTTAGGATAATGGTATGCTTATGGTTAGTGACCGATTAGGTTTGTATCCCGGTTATTGGGATGTTGCTATGATTAGTGATATGTTAGATCGCTTTGACTATTATATGATATGAGCTAGCGTATGGTATTTATGTGCACATGTTCAATGATTGGGGGTTGGGTTGGGGCGGTTCTGCTTTGTGCTGTACGACAACATACCCGGGAAGCGTTCCAGATAGACTGTAGGCCCTGCGAGGCGGTCAAGTCATGCCGAAGGCTCGGGAGCGGTCCAGATAGGCTGTAGGCCTTGTGAGGCGGTGCAGTCAGGCTGAAGGCTCATTATACATGCTGATCTGAAATACTTATTGGTTGTGGTTAATTTGGTATGGATTTGGTATTTTGGGGGAGCTCACTAAGCTTTCGGGCTTATAGTTTCAGTTTATTGTTTCAGGTACATCAGGTGATCGCAGCAAGGCGAAGGCATGATCATACAACTCCTCATGATTTGTTTATGTTTCTGGGAAAACTCTAATGTTAGATATTTTGAAAACAACTTTGTAATGATGATTGGTTTTAAAATTTTTTGAAAAACCTTTAAATTGGCATGAAATTTTTGGGTGTTACATTCAAGTTGGGTTGATGGGTTGGGTCAATTTTTGTCAGCTCTAGTCCATGTATGTATGCAACCGGCTGATAACCTGCAAAGGATAAAAATACTAAACATCTAGCTTTAATATTTGAGAAATTATTAGGTGCTCAACGTAGGCATGTGAGAGGCATTGGGCCTAAACCTCCTTCTTCAGTAGGTACAAGTGCTCCTTCCTAGTAGTAGTCATAGTTATAAGCACTGCAACCAACACAGGTTCTTGTTAAATTCATAAAAAAATTGGTAGCTTTGCTATATTGTTAAGAACTTGAGGCATTTATAGTAAATTTTGGTAGTTTGGTAGTTTGGTAGTTTGTTAAATTGTTAAAGACTTAATTGATTTGACGGTTTAATAGTTTATTAGATTGTTAACGACTTAATTCGGTTGGTGGTCAATTTGATAGTTTGATAGTTTTTTAAATTGTTAATGACTTAATGTGCTTGTGACTTAGTTGTAGGATGTTGATGTGAATGTTTTTTTTTCAAAACCCGACGTTTGTGACGGCAATTGGATATATTATCCGCTCATTTAAGAAGCAAATGAACGAGGAAAACAACGATTAGGAAGAGAAGACACATAGTATTTTTTTGTTTTCTGTTATGGATGATGTTCTTTTGGATTTATTAGATAGTTTATGTAATGTGTTATAGTTAGATGTTTTATGTAATGTGGTATGTATTTCTGTACTTTATCAAATTTCCATATTATTATTATTATTATTATTATTATTATTATTATTATTATTATATATATATATATATATATATATATATATATATATATATATGAGTAAATTACTGAAATCGTCCTTGTGGTTTGGTCAAAATTGCATGTTTGGTCCCTAACTTTTTTTTACACTCGGATCGTCCCTGTGGTTTGATTTTGTTGCGTTTTTCGTCTCTATGGTTTGGTAAAAATTGCATGTTTGGTCCCTAACTTTATGTATGTAAGGGACGAAAAATGCAACAAAATCAAACCATAGGGACGCAAAACGCAACAAAATCAAACCATAGGGACGATCCGAGTGCAAAAAAAAAGTTAGGGACCAAACTTGCAATTTTGACCAAACCGCAGGGACGATTTCAGTAATTTACTCTATATATATAAACTCATATCATAAATAAATTGTTTTTTTTTTAAAAAAAAAACATTAGCAGCGACACCTTTAAGGACGACAATGACCAATTGCGACGACTACTGATTCCGGGAAGAGTAGCCGGAAAAACTCTGACAAATACTAATAGAGATGGCGCCAATAGTGATGGCAGGGACATTTAGTGACGACGATGCTATTTGCGACGACAAACGAGTATTAACCACGAGGTAATAGTGACGACCCTTTAGCGACGATATGGGTCATCAATTGCGACGTTTTTTGTCGTCGCTAAAGGTTAGGTTTTTTTTGTGAGGATGTTAACATATTCTAGGTAAAGTTTGTTTACCTAATGTTTTTGGCATGTAGACAGGGCAATTTGGTACCCTGAAAATTAAACTACAACGGCATTTTGTGTTTAGAAAGATGTTATGGGACTCGTCCACCATAGATGCACTTCGTATATTTTTGTAATTTTAATTACAACACTAAAAAGTTCGATTTTTTTTCTCAGTGTGATGGTGTTTAACCTGATTTAGATCCGTCTGCCAAGTGCTGATCTTGATGTGGTGTTAATGGAAGAAGGATCGGTACAAATTTTCGGTGTGGGTAACAGAAAACTATTGTTATAAACCATTAAAATCATTGTTTTGTTTCATTAATCATTTAAATTTTCTTGACATCAGTGTGATCTAGAAGCGGTTCTTACATAGAATACAAAATAACTAATAAATAAAAAGTCTGGTTTGACCCCTATAATTTAGTTCCCTTGTTGGTGACTGTTGGTGGGTACAAATAATTTCATGAAAAAGAGCTACAGAAAGAAACAAAGAATCACATGATGATGATGAAGATTATGATGAATCTGGAAACATTTTAACAATTGTAAAATTAATGCTCTTAGTTATCAGGAAATTATAATTTGACAAATCCATTCAGTGAAAACAATATATTCTCAAGCCCATTTGGCTAGGAGAGACATCAAGCCGGCACCAAGAAGAAGAAAAACATTTGAACCAAGTAGAAGCATCTTCTTGTTTTGCATCCTGGGATTATTGAAATCCGGAGAAAGTAGGTTGACAAGAGCCATATATATTAACATTCCAGCAGATGCAGCATTTAGCACGCCTTCGACAATAAGAGAATTTGTATTGTTTTTTTATAGCTGTTGCTCATCAATATTCCGATTACAATTCCACCTGGAGTCGTAAGGGTGAAAAACGCTCCCATTGATATAATCGCCAGTGACTTGATTTTTGCCTGAAATAAGTGAACCATGTTATATATATAGGATTTATTCGTAGCCATAGTTGATATTCAACCCAATTATGTAGACTAAAATAAATCTAATTAATTTGTTGATAATATCCGTACCTGAAAGATGCATCCACCGAGGCCTAATCCTTCGAAAAATTGGTGGAAGGACAAAGCAACAATAAGTGGTTTTATGGTTTCCGGACTTTTGGAAGCACCTAACGATAATCCTATAATTATTGAATGAGCGACAATTCCTAATTCCAGCACCTGCGATCCAAAAGATAAATAATATTTTCACCAATATATTACTTCTTGTAACCCACCTTAAAGTTTAATTATAGACATAATTAAAGGATATCGTCGATTGGTTCATCTTAATTAGTGTCTTTAATAATTTATCTGTTTGCAGCCTAGTTATTTTTATTTCAATTAACTTTGTCGTTCAAAAGAAACAAAAAGATTTGAAAGATCTAGTAATTTACCTGGGAAATAATCCGATATCGATAAACTTGGGAATTATCATTGGCGTGAGAATGGTGATGGGTTGTATGCATGTGAACAGTCACAACCCCAACGTTATTTTCTTCATCGTCAACCCCTTCAACTGCTACCGTCTGATTCTTAGGATGGCATGCCACTGACCAGCTCTCAAACATCAACGTCACAATGGTTGCAATCATAGCCACAAACCCAGATAAAGGAAAATCCCCCCAAACCTGTTCTTTCAAACATGGAGACATCAGGCTCTCGAACGCGTCTGGAAGTATATGGATAAAACCTGTAGCCAGCATCACGCCCGCAGCGAATGATTTTATTAGGAAGAAACCATCTTTTTCTTGGCGTAAGGCCGGAAAGATTTTGCCAGCGAAAGGTAGAGATACGCCGATTCCGCCCGCAATCAATATGGAAGCAAGTGCGATTAATTTGTACTTAAGGGTTTCGCTTTTGTTGCCGTGGATTTCTTCGTCTTCACAACTGCAATCAGCAAAGACTCTAATGACTAGGCTTAATAACAAAAATGCCGTAACTATTGGTTTCTGAAATTCCATTTGATTTTCGAATTAATTGTCAACGTATTTTCTGAGTGCGTGCGCTTTTTAATATATAGGGTAAAAAAGAAATCTTAAAACATATCACTCATAAAAGATATCACGCATTTATTATCATGTACAAATTGTATGACATACAAACTCAGTCTCCTTAAACAAACTTGTCGTTATCACAAACTAATCCATATCTGCAAAACCCATTTAATTTTGGAATTAACTTTCATCCACTTTTTTTTATAGCGTAAAAATATATCATATTTTAAGATGTACAATGCCGTTGTTTTGAAGGTTCTCACGATAACATGGTAACACCCTTAAAGGATGCTCTGTAGACACCATAAAAAAAAACAAATAAAACCCGTTTTTTTTCTCACCTTGACGCATGTGACCGTATCAATCCGTCTATTCATCGGAAAATATATGTTCTGATTGCGCCAGTAGCCATATATTTTTGCTCGATGAGATCCATTATTAATCTGTTATCAAAAACAAAAGTTCTACCGATATCGCACGAAGGCGAAGGCTTGGTGATGGTACTTGTAGGGTATGGGGTTTGTCGGAAGTGTTCAGACGGTCCAAGCCAATTTGAGGCTAGGGACAAATACAAAAATGAGGCCTTTAAATTTCAAAATTTTGTTATCGCATTCGATAATACATGATTTATGTGCAACTAGTACATGGGTACTTATTATTAAATTGGATTTATATGTATTACAAAAAAAATTGATCGTGTTTAAGGGGTGTGAGTTTTTAAAGTCCAAAAATTTGCCATGAATTTTCAACTTTCTAAAATAATATTTATTAAAGAATAACCCTTAATTTTATGGGAAAATGTCATCATAGCACATTAAAGTTTGGTCAATTGTTTGATTTAGTCACTAAAATAATTTTATTGCGCAATAGGCCCTAAAAATATCATTTTACCTACTAAATAAAGCAATTATGCAATTTGATTCCGGTTTCACCGATTATATTTAGTCTACATGGTTTTTTTTTAAATAAAAATTTCAACGTGACTTTTTTATTTTCTCTTAAATTTTGAACCTTGCATTAAAATTTTCCATGGTCAACGAATTAAAACTCCCTATTTCTCCAAACACAATCCACCTTCCTCTTCTCCAAACACAATCAATTTTCATTCACCTATCGGGTTGCTCAACCCACACGTCGATGACGACTTTCAGCTTCTTCCCTTTTTCTTGTCCAACACCAAACTGATGTCATCAGTAAGTCTTTCGATTTTGCTTTTTGATGTATAGGGTTTTTGAGGAAATCGTAGGGCGTACCTTTAACACAAACAATTTTTCTGATGGGGATTAGTCTGTGTTGGGCTATTCATCGGTACTGTTGTTTTTAGGGATTTTGTTTCCATTTTGCCTCCAAGTGTATATATTTTCCAATGAGTGAATAGGTCACCATTAGTTTAAGATCTCTGGGAAATGCATTTCTGATTCATTAGATATTAAACTGTAATTCATGAGAATTGTGAACCTCATCATATCCATTCGTCTACTTCATCCTAAAAACCATAATTATCTATAGTGAAAAAAATGTTTCCTAGGTGTGCATCTTTGTCTTGGTCTAGAAACTACATTCACAAAAAAGGAATATCAAGTGTGCAACTTCCACCCTGTCTACGACCTACACCATAAAAAAATAACAGATCATTTTTTCGATGTCGGGACTGTATCTTTTAGATGATGGGTGATTTGGAGTTTCCGGAAACAATAAAGGGAAAGTCAAATAAGATACAATGTTATAATAAAAGGTAAGAGGAGGAACAATGCAAGGAGTCTACCTGTAGCCGGGTTGTAGAGTTCACTGAAAAATCAAGAGAATAAGAGTTAGAGGTGAAACGTCGCAAAAATAAAGTCATAAAATTTTCGTTTTAGATTAATAAATCGTTAATACATATCATTTCCATACAACCAAGGTAATCAAGATTTTGCAAAACATCATCGAATCAGAGTAAATCACAGAATGTGGAAACATGCGATGTGTGCTTTGCAATCCTCCCGAGCTCTTCCATTTGAAAACCAAAGTACCTGAAACATAAACTTAAAACTGTAAGCACAAAGCATAGTGAGTTTCCCAAGATACCACATAACATACATAACTTCTCATATAACAGGTCCCACCCACTGAGATACGGCCCCCACCCACACTCGCATAAGGGGCCCCACCTATTGAGATACTGGCCCCTCCCACACTCGCATAACAGTCCCCGCCCACTGAGATATGGGCCCTGCTCACACTCTTATAACAGGGCCCCTCCTACTGAGATATGGGCCCCGCCCACACTTAAATAACGGGCCCCGCCTACTAAACATATAACTATATAATCATATAACATTCAAACACATGCAGAAAACAAAAAGATAGTAGCATACTGCATAATCACCGTGCCCCGCCCACATACAAATCGTATATGTATAACCTAATATTAGCATATAGAATAACTATCGGGCCCTAACCCGTCCAACATACATACCAATACACACACATGCAAGAGTCACACAAAATACTTACATCCTAACATAAAAACTATGGGTCGGGATTGGTGCCTTCGACTCGCTAAACATAGTGAGGAGACTCACCTCGCACTGCCGAAACGCACAGAAAATCCACGGCTGCTCACTGACAGATCCCCGAACTATATCAAAACAACATCCGATCAACATTTGGGTCCCAATCCATAACTATAAGTCCAACAGTCCATTATTAAGGTAAAAAGAACATTTTACCCCTTACATAGTTTGGCCCATGACAAAAGCCCAAACTCAAAATCTAAAAGGACCAAAACCAAATAATTACTCAAGGCCCATACTTGGCCTAATTTTCCAAATTGTGCCCCAAACATAGCCCAACATAACCCATGGTCAACCTTGATCAAACTTCTAGTCAAAGTCAAAGTCAACAGTCTATGTTAACCAAGCAATCAGTGTTGACTTGCAAACACGTCGTGTTCTTCCAACATCCAGATAATCGGGAAACCCCATCCAACACGCCATGTGGCGTGTTGGCTTGCAAAAACATCGTGTCTTCCCAAGTTTCCACAACTTAATACATTAAGCTACTACCTCCGATTCCAAGAGCTCCACGTGTAACGCTCTAAAAATTTCAACCAATTTAAAATTTTCAAAAACAACCCGATTTCATAAAGTTATTACAAAAGGGTTTTCAATACAATCGTGTCTACATCATAATGCCTTCCGGCCCATAACATAATGCCTTCCGGCCCATATCATACATAGCATACATATAATAACAGAACACAGAACAACCATGCACTTCGGGTCTACGTTGAGACTAGTCCGCCGCACCGGCCAACAGTCCACCCGGTCCACCCTCCGAGTCTAGCCATATACATCGAGTCTACAGTGTGATTGGTCCGCCCGCACCAGGCCTTCAATCCACCTGGTCCAGTCTCTGAGTCTCGACACGTCTGGTCCGCCGTCTTGGGGCCTGCAGCCTATCCGGACTGCTTACTCGGCCTTCGGGATAACCGGTCCGCCCTGTGTATGTTGGCCTACAACACAAAGCAGGACCCTCCTCAACCCAAACCTCAGTCCAACAACCATGTGCACATAAACATTCAATCATATAAGAATTCACATTCAATTAAGCCTATCTAGCGGATCACATAACATTGAAGAGAATTGTTATCGAGATTTGAGAAAGCAAAGTTTGATTTGAGTAATTGAAGATTTTGAACATGAAGAGTAAATATTAATCAAATCTCATATTGATAAAGACTGATTACAACATAAGCAGAAAAGAGATATTTGTTACGAAAATTCTCTCTCTACTTCTAACCTCAGTCCCTATTTATAGGGAACATGAGTGTACAAAAAATATACTAAGTCTAGACATTTCACTTCGCACAAAGATGTATGTCTTAACATGTGCGAAGCCTATCTTGAACACTTCAGTCTCAGAGCCTTTGAGCTTATTTTCTTCCATATGCTTCAAAATCAGAGCCACTTGAATTAAATCATTGCAGTTCATCAAAGGAAAATCTGCTACAGTGAAGTCGTACTACTTGTTGTCTGCTCGGATAACAAAATAATGAAAATTTTGAAGCATGTATTCAAACAATATATCTTTCTTGATTGTCAGCACCTTTTTGATCTTCATTAAAGACCAAACTTCATCTGGATTCTTCCCTAAAACAGCATGAAATCTGATTTTCATGTGTGTATAATCATCAGTATTATCAAACTTCTCACTAATCTTGTACTGAGCAGTGATGAATAGCATTTCATTTATTGGAAAATCCAGCTGACAATTGTCTGAATTCACTAATCTTGTACTGAGCATGATTAAAAATTGATGAGGTGGTGGATAAAGTTGTAAATGGAATTGAAACAATTGGTAAAGAAATAGGTAAAGAGATTGGGATTGTGGTTGTAACACTCAGGATAGGTGCCCCCGTATCAGATACGTTGACAAGCGTATCAGAAATAGGTACCTCCTTAGAAACTGATTTGGTAGTGACTATTTCGAGTGGTTCCGTTAGTGGTAAGGTGGTAGAGATTTGTGAAGTATGGATGATAGGTAATGAAACATTTACCGTAGATGTCACTGGTGGAGTTTCTGGTACTATTTCTTCATCAGATGATTCATTGCGAATCACCATCTTTCTTCTTTTGATGAGAGTACGTTGCATGTTTTTGGCAACATCTTCAGCTCTTTGCCTTTTCTTTCCTGGAGAAACCGGAGCTGGAATACTACGAATAGTAACGCCTTTACTGCTCACCTCAGCCTTGCGAATTTTCTTCAATACCCCAGACTTAGAAGGTATTACTTCTTTCTTTGATTTAGATGAAGTTTCTTCAATCTGAATATCTTCATCTTGAACTTGTTGTGAAGATGAACCTTTCGCATCCTTCTTTATGAGCTTCTTTTTCTTTGACGGAGCAGCAACATCTAATAATACTCGAGTCTGCTCTTGTTGATTAATTGTTCACAAATATCTCACCAAGACTTTGTGAGTTTGAGATACCTTGTGAAGCATCGCATCTGGAATGCGAGCCACATGTGTAAAAATTGCCTCATCATCTTCTACTGCCTTTGGAAACTGATACAAAGAAAATT